GCCCATCAGGCAGACAAATGCAAACAAAGGCAGGACTCATTCACAAGATTCTGGTATTCGATTTTGTGGATGCCCTTGGAGGAGATGACATAATTACTGGCTTAAAAAGAAAAAAAAATATATAAAAATCTTTATTGGGGTATAATTCACGTAGTGTACAAGTCACCATTCAAAATGTACAGTTCAGTCGTTTTTAATATATTCAGAGATGAGCAACCATCACCATAATCAATTTTAGAACATTTTCATCACCACAGAAAGAAACCCATACCCATTACCTAGCATTCACTCCCCATTTCCCTCCTGCCCACTCAGAGAACTACCTATTTTAATGTTTCAAATAATTCAATGAAGCAACTGGCTTAGATTCATCTGGCCTCTACAGGGGGGTAGGAATCTCGTGGAATCCATTTTTGTCAAGACGTAATTCAGACTGAAAATAAGAATCTGTATAAAGAAAGACTTCAGTCAGTGGTTTTCCACCTATTACCCTACGGATAAAATGCTCAAAGTACCCTCATAACCATATCTAGATTTTGGAGCTAGTACGCTATTAGGGTTAGGGGAAAGTTTTTTTCAACTTCTTTTTTTTTTTTAATCCACTCCCTCTTTGGTTAAAACCAGAAGCTTTACCGTCACCCCTGTGATCCTTATGTATCACCCTGAGGGGGTCATGCATAGGAGAAGCATAGCTGAATATAGGATTAGAGGAATATAGGAACAGTCAGGAAAAACTAGGTATGTTTGGTGGCACATCTTTAACCTTTTGAGGTTAATCCCAGTGAAGAAGCCTTCCTGTGTGAGTCTCAGGGTTCTACCAACAGAACCAAGATAAAGGACCCAGAATGACATAAGATGGTCTTGAGTGACAGTGACTGTGCGACAGCTGGCTAGGGAGATGGTGAGCATTTCTGGCACTCGGTTAATTAATAATGTAAGTGAAGGTAGGCTGGGGCTGGGGGGATGGCCTCACGGGGACAGAGAGACCTGAGTCACAGATGGCCCAGTTGGCAACATGACGGTTCACTTTTGGAAAAGCAATGTGACACAGCCTTTCTCGAATAGAGTGATTCAGTAGAGCAGACAGGATACTGAAGATCTCAGAAGTGGGAGGGATCCAGCCACCAGAAGGGGGCAGCACTTTCTTGGGACCAGAGAGATTGAGAGGCCTGTTTTGAGAGCGGAGGGTTGTGGCAGAGTGTTTGGAGGGGAAGCGGGGAGGTGGTACAGGGGCAGCGCAATTAAAAAAAAATTTTTTTTAAAGAGATGGGGCTACCTTGGGCAGGTGCTGATGTATGGACAGCCGTACCGCGTTACCTTAGAGCTTGAGCTGCCAGAGTCTCCTGTGAATCAAGATTTGGGCATGTTCTTGGTCACCATTTCATGCTACACCAGAGGCGGCCGAATCATCTCCACCTCTTCACGCTCCGTGAGTGTTCATTCCTGGCCTGTCTAGGAGGGTGTGGAGAATGATGACAGATGTCAGAGTATCTGGGTAGGGCTTCAGGAGAAAACACCCCAGCTCTGAAGTCACAGACACATCAGGATAGGCAAGAGGTGTCAGTTTACCACACAGACAAACACCCCCTAACATCTGATGAGCATGTCCAGCTTTGGGGTAAAGTCTGAAGAGCAGAGCCACCCTGAAAACAGGGGCTTCTTTGGAGCCAGGCAAGCCTGACCTCGAATCCTCACTCAGAAACATGCTAGCCGAGGGACAGTGTACTTAACCCCTTAGTTATGAAGTAATGTAAGTGAATATAGTAGTAAGTCCCTCATAACAAGACTAGTTTGGATTCAATGAGGAAATAGTGGGTGTTCAGTAAATGTTAGACTCCATTCTTAATTATCAACAGAACCGCATCATGAAGCAAATCCCTGAATGTCCACATGGGGGGAAAAGCTTCAGATGGTACACTGGAACATACAGTCTGTTCTGGATTATAGAACCATTTGCGGGGAAGGTAGATCAGAGACAGTGTGGGGCTTCACCTAGGAGGGTTTCTTAGAAAAGGGGGCTTTGTTGTATTGGAATAGAGACACGCGGCCGGCTAGGGCAGGGCAGGGATGTCATTCAAGTGTTTGCGATGGTTGGGTCAAGACTTGGGTTTTGGGGGCGTGGTAGGAAGTGAAAGTGAGGGAGCAGGGACGGGGAAGCAGCAGCCTTCCTAGCCTGCTCAGGGGTGGTGGAGGGGCAGGCACCCGTCCCCAGCCTCTCCCTCCTGGCCCTGGCAGGTGATGCTGCATTACCGCTCAAACCTGCTCCAGATGCTTGACACACTGGTCTTCTCTAGCCTCCTGCTGTTTGGCTTTGCAGAGCAGAAGCAGGTCCTGGAGGTGGAGCTGTACCCAGAATACAGGGAGAACTCGGTAAGGGGGGAAGGAGGACTAGGACACAGCCCTCCCCACAAGCCCAGGATTTTACCTGAGGAGCTTCTGGGCTCAGTCAGGAGGGACAGCAGTAGAGGCTGGAAGCGGGCCTCAGATTGGCCTGGTAAGAATGACAGCGGCAGGATCCTGGCCTGATGTGCTGCCACCACTGCCCACCCACCTGCAGTATGTGCCGACCACCGGAGCTATCATCGAGATCCACAGCAAGCGCATCCAGCTGTACGGAGCCTACCTCCGCATCCACGCCCACTTCACTGGGCTCAGGTGAGGAAGCACCGACGTGACCTGGGCAGCTCTCGTGGGGCTGTCCTTAAGTGAAGAGGGTCCTAAGCAGAGGCGACGGGTTTTACAGGTTTTACTTAGGCCACAGATTCTCAACCCTGGCTGCACATCAGCATATCAGGTCCCTGGGGAACTTTAAAAACTACTGATGCCTGGGCCCCACCCCAAGACCAGGATTTGTTAGGGTCATACCAGGCCGTCAGACTTTTTGAAAGCACCCCAGGGAAAGGTCATGTGCAGTCAGCGTTGAGAACTGCTCTCTTGAACACATCGGCCCAGTGGGTGGGAGGCAGGGGATGCAGCCCAGCTGTAGCCAAACTGGTGACTCGCCCTATAAGTTATTTCTGGGAAATGAGAAGGCTGGTACTCCCTGGTAGCTGCTACTCCCCTCCTGTCTCTGCTTCCTGCTTCAGGTACCTGCTGTACAACTTCCCGATGACCTGCGCCTTCGTTGGTGTCGCCAGCAACTTCACGTTCCTCAGCGTCATCGTGCTCTTCAGCTACATGCAGTGGGTGTGGCGGGGCATCTGGCCCCGACACCGCCTCTCTTTGCAGGTCGCAAAGGACCCCTTTCCTCTCCCCCTCACGATCCTTCTTTGGGGAGTGGGCAGGAGCATCTTGGGGGCTGGGGCTGAAGGGCCCTGATCACCGGTGAGGGAAGGCAGTCCTTGCTGCTCAGGAGTTTCCCCCACTACAGGTAAACATCCGAAACAGAGACAGGTCCCGCAAGGAAGTCCAGCGGAGGATCTCTGCCCATCAGCCAGGTAAAGGTGATGGCTGGGGGCTGGGTGAGGAGGCTCCTGCGCCGTCCAGTATGAGGCTTTAGGTGCTCACATACCAAGCTGAAGGTCAAGGCGAAGGCTGAATGGGGTGAAGTTGGCACTGCCGTCCAGGGGCACCTGCCCTAGCCCTGCCCTGTCCTCTACCCCTTTTGGAGGCACAGGGCCCCAAGGCCAGGAGGAGTCCACTCAGCTGTCACCCATTACACAGGATAGTGAGAGCCGTGCAGATCCCTCGGAGCCAGGTAAGGTGCAGCAGCCCGACCTCCTTCCTGACTCCTCTGAGCCCTCCCCTTCAGCCTCCTCCAGACTGACCTCTGCCCTCCCCCTGGGGCTGCAGAAGGCCAGCTGTCTGAGGAGGAGAAACCAGATCAACAGCCCCTGAGTGGCGAGGAGGAGCTAGAGCCCGAGGCCAGTGACGGTGAGGGGCACTCTGCAGCGGGACCTGGGTGGACTGGGGTTGGTCTGTGGCTAGGGAGAAGGCCACGTTGCGTTGGGTGGGGGCAGGAGCCCCTGGTCTGGAATTTCCCATTTGGGATTTCGTTTCTCCTTCCCCTGGCCCAGGTTCAGGCTCCTGGGAAGATGCAGCTCTGCTGACGGAGGCCAACCTGCCTGTTTCTGCCCCTGCCCTTGCCCCGGAGACCGTGGGCAGCTCTGAACCCTCCACAGGCACTGTCCGACAGCGCCCCATTTGCTCTAGTTCCTGAAGAGAATAGGGCAGAGTCCCCACACTCCAGCCCTTTCCCCCCTGATCCCTTTTCCTTTCTGGGGCTCCCCCAATAAACTCTTTCCATGCCAGCTGCCTCCCTGACTCTGAAGTAGATTCAGGGCCATTTGAAAACGTGATGTTCCCCAGGCATCCCCCACCCGATTGGAGGAGGTTGTCTTGTCAGGGGCTACCGATGGGGAAGACCTCCAGACCCTGGACTATTTCAGGCACATCTGTTTCCATTCATCAGCTTAGGACATCCAAGGAGCGAAAGCCTGCCCACTCCATCCATGTGACTCTCATCTCCCTCTGGGGAGGGGGATAGCATAGGGCGGGTCTGGAAAGCTGGGATACATCATTCTGGCCTCCGTACCCCTCCCTTTCTCAGTCCATTGGGAGGCAGAAGACAGGAAATGACTGCCATGGATGTGGTATGATTTTTTACTGAAACAGCATTTTGTAGCCCAGGCCCCATGCTGTCCACAGCTATTTTTCTCTCTGATACCAGCCAGGTGGCCCCGTCCTTTGTGTCCCCTCCTCACCCCTCACATGACTTCAGCCTTTGGATTCTCAGCTCCTGGCTGCTTTCCACATTCCACTGCTCTTTCAGAACCCAGGCATCCTGGTCTCCAGCTGAAACCGCTGCATGTGGCTTCCCCCACCCCTGGCCCCGTGACTCAGGCCCTCTGAAGGGACCAGCCCTCTTCTTGGCACTCACCGGGGAGGGGGGCAGGGGAAGGGGGGCCAGGTGGTGACATCACAGTTGAGGGGTATAAAAGCTTTGAACCAAAACAGAATTGAAATTGAAGACACTGAGAAAACCTGACTGCGCAGCCTGTGCTCCTGGGGACCTCTTAGGACCCCCGGCCTGCTACTCACTGCATCAAGGCCTACCCACTGGTAAGGCGCTGCTTGTGAGTCAGGGAGGTGGGGGGCAGGCAGGGACCAGGACTTGGATAGGTGGGGAGGGAGGGTTCCAGGGCCTCTGGGTCCCATCTCTTCTCCTTTCTCACTTGCATCTCCTTTCTGGGTTTCTGCATGTGTCACTGACTGATTGATACTTATTTTACTTAGATGGTCTCTCTGGGCGGCAGCTGGGAACTACCCCGCCTTCCTTCCCCAGCTGCGTAAATCATTTACTCCTCTCCTCTCAGCACTCAGTTTATTCATTAACTGTTTCTGGTGCTTCACGCATTGCTGGTCGCACACTTCTCTCTGTCGGGTCAGACGACATTTTATTCTTTTTCGCCCAAAACCAAGCACATAGGCTGTTCAGAAGTTAGATGACAAAGGGGTGTGTCGTCTCATTTCCACCTCCTTCCTGTTCTCTTGGTCCCCATTCGGTCGTGTTTCCCTGTCTCTAGAGCTTCTGTTGAGGGAGGGGGGCCTGCAAGGTGTGAGGGCTGGCCGGCCTTCACCCTTCCCCCTCCTTCCCTTCCAGACCCCATGCCGGGATCTCCCCGCCTTCTGTGGCTCCTGGCTGTCACCTTCTCCTTGGTTCCCAGAGCGCAGCCCTTGGCGGGAGACTTAGAAGAAGAGGAGCAAGATGAGACACCTTTGCCGGCTGTCCCCTGCGACTACGACCGCTGCCGCCACCTGCAGGTGCCCTGCCAGGAGCTGCAGAGGGCCGGCCCGACGACGTGCCTGTGCCCCGGCCTCTCCAGCGCAGCGCAGCCGCCCGACCCGCCACGCCTGGGGGAAGTGCGCATGGAGGCCGAGGCGGGCCGCGCCGTGGTGCACTGGTGCGCCCCCTTCTCCCCGGTCCACCAGTACTGGCTGCTGCTTTGGGAAGGCGCTGGGGCTCCGCAGAAGGGCCCCCCCCTCAACTCGACGGTCCGGCGAGCGGAGCTGAAGGGCCTGAAGCCCGGGGGCGCCTACGTCGTATGCGTGGTGGCCGCCAACGCGGCCGGGGAGAGCAGCGTGCCCGGGGCCGAGGGCCTCGACGGTGCGGGCGGCCCCGCCTTCGGGCCCTGCGGCCAGCTGACCGTGCTGCCGAGGCCGCTCACGCTGCTGCACGGGGCCGTGGGCGTGGGCTCGGCGCTGGCCCTGCTCAGCTGCTCCGCCCTGGTCTGGCACTTCTGCCTGCGCGAGCGCTGGGGCTGCCCCCGCAGAGGCCGCCCGAGCGGCGCGGGACTCTGAGGCCGCCCGGGGGGCCCCTCCGGCCAAGCTAAGCCCGGCGCCGCTCCGGGGGAGGTGGCGGCCCCGACAGACGGCGGGATGGAAGGCCGGGCGCTGGGCCCCCCTGAGTCGGTTCAGGCCCCAGACTTTCCACTCTGCCCAGAGCTTAGGTTTAGGAGTAGAGAAGGTCAGCAAATTTTTTCTTAAGGGACCAGAATAATTTAGGCTTTGTGGTTCCAGGGGATAAAATCGAAGATATCATGTAGTTCTCACACAACCATGTAACCATTTAAAAATGTAAAAATCATTCTTAGCTCTTGGGCCCTTACAAGTCAGGCCCTGGCCAGATTCGGCCCGTTGGCTATGGTTAGTCTTCTGTCGTACAGCCTCAAAAGGGCCCTGCCACTATGGGTGGCTTCCGTGGGGTTTTGAGAATAAGCTGCTGCGGTATGGGAGTCTGGGGCTAGAGACCACTCCTCCTCCTTCTGCCTTTTTGTTTAGATAGTGAGCATGCGCACTGAGTTAGACTCTACCTGTGTCTGAGGCGGGTGGAAATAAATGACTGACATGGAGTGGAGAAGAGAAGGACTGCCCAAGCTGCTGTCTGGGACAAGCTTGCGGTTTTGCTAGTAAAAATATAATAATAATAATACAATAATAACAAAGGATTCCCCCTCCCCCATTTGTGTTTATTGTATATTCACTGTAACACCATTAAAGGAGATGTAAAAGGAAGACATTTTCAAATTTCATGATCCTTTTCAATTCCCTGTCCACACACCGATTTTTCGGAATAGTATACATACTTTCGAGTTTATTTTTAAATTAACTGGATGTAGAAAAGTCGAAGTTGCTACACAGTTTATTCCTCACTTTTACTGATCTTATAACCTTTTCTTAAATTATAAAAGTAACACATACAAATTTCAGTACTGAAGAGGATAAAATGAAAGTTCCCCTCCTCCTCAAGAGGCAATTGCCTGTAGCAGAGCAAATTTTTCTCTAAGCAATGCAAATTTATTTTTTTAATTTGATATATTATGGACAATGTTCCATGTTGGTAAATCACAGCCTCCTTAGTTATGTGAAAGGCATAACTTTCCATTGGAGGATGCTCCTTAACTGATAGTAGCCTTGGCTCTTTGTTAGAACGTTTGTCTTCAGTGTTTGCTATGGACATCCTTGTTTGTTTGTGTATCCTCACATGTTTGTGTATTTCCATAGGGTACTTACTTGGAAGTAGGTGAGAGAGGCAGTACTATACAATTTAATCATTCGTCTATTATTGGAACTCTAGAATAAATTTAGAACACATTTGTTATTTAGAATACATTCACCACATTGCCGTGAATACTTTGTCTTTTTAATCTGATTTCTGTATTTCCTCAGCATTTATTCATTTACAAATTATGAGGGCCTACTATCTCACTTTTTTGTTTTTTTTTTCCCGTACTTTTTCTTCCCTACTATCAATATTAAAGACGCGCTTTACATGCTTTCGTACTTAATCTCTATCACAGTCGTTCTAAGAGATGGTGTCACCTTTTCACAGATGAGAAGTTTGAGGTTCTAAATGGTTTGAAGCTATTCAATACAAGTAAGGAGGTGAGTTAGGACTTCTCGACACAAGTTGCCCAACTCCATAGCTGATGATCATTCCACCACAGAGAGGCAGCACAGCCTAGCGATTCCAGCACGCACACTGCATGGGTTTGAATCCTAGCTCTGCGACCTTCGGTAAATTATCTCATCTTTCTGTGTCTGTTTCCTGTGACTAATGACAGTATCTACATCATATGGATTGTTGTGATGATTAAATATGAATTAAGCATATAAAATTCTCTAGTGCATATATTATCAATATCAGCAACTTATTATTATTCTGCCTCCTAAAAAACATTTAAAGTGAGCTTTAACTTAAGGGACCGAAAAAACAAACAAACAAAAACAAGCAAAAAGCTTCCCTTGTGGCGCAGTGGTTGAGAGTCCGCCTGCCGATGCAGGGGACACGGGTTCGTGCCTCGGTCCGGGAAGATCCCACATGCCGCGGAGCGGCTGGGCCCGTGAGCCATGGCTGCTGAGCCTGCGCGTCCGGAGCTTGTGCTCCGTAACGGGAGAGGCCACGGCAGTGAGAGGCCCGCGTACGGCACACACACACACAAAAAACTTAAGGGACCTAACAGCCTAGGTAGTGGCGGCGGGCTAAGTAATCAACAACACTACACACCAGTGGGACAAATGCTAATCGAGTAAATACCGGGGCTGGGAGATGGAGAGGGGGTGGTCAAGGAAGCCTTCCCTTAGAAAGCACACCCAGGGACTTCCCTGGTGGTCCAGTGGTTAAGATTCCGCGCTTCCACAGCAGGGGGCGCAGGTTTGATCCCTGGGGACCTAAGATCCCACATGCGTGCGGCCAAAAATAAAAAAGGAAAGAAAGAAAAGAAAGCAAACCCAGGGTCCAGTCCGAAAAACGACTGGGAGTTAACCAAGCCCACAGAAGAGGCAGGACATCCCAGACACAGAGGGATGGGTATGTGCAAAGGCCGGGAGGAGGGAGAGTTTTGCAATCTGCACAAGTTACCCTCAAGTGGTGAGAGATGAACTCCGCACCAACTACCAACATTTACACAGTATAGTCTTGCCAGGCACCTAAGGTTGGTGCTATTGTTATCCTCACTTTACAGATGGGACATTAACAAAAGAAAGGGTAGGAGGAAGCCAGACTACCAGCATTTAAGTTTCGTCCTAGGTGACTGAGGTGTCATGGAGAAATCTTAATCAGGGAGGTGATGACAGGATCAGTTATTGTGTTTTGCAAAGATCCCTTTGGCAGTAGCACGGAGGATAGCTCAATTGCCGGAGAGGATGAGCAGGTCAAAGGGTGCTTACATTTCTATGGCTCCTGATAAACACTGCTAAATAATTTTCCAACCGGTTGCGCTAAGGGGCCATATCGAGAGCTGTCTTCATTCGCCCAAGGGTCTCAGGGCGGCATCGCCCTTCTACACCGCTGCGGGGCACCCGGGCTTGGGCGGGGGAATGTGAGCTGCCTCCCGGGCCGCTACTCCCACGCCCCGCCTGTCCCCTCAGCGCCAAGTCGGGCCGCTGGGCCAGGCCTGTGTTTTCTGGCTCTCTGCGGCACCCATCCACGTCCGCCTCCACGTGACCCAAACAGATTCGGGCACTTCCGCTTCCTCTAGGCTTTCTTCTCGTCGGTGTCCAGGGCCGGTCCGGAGCCAGTGAGTAACCGAGCGTCCGGCTGGGGCCGTAGGGGGCGGTTTTGCGCGCCGGCGGGGGACGCCCCGTGCTGACCCTCTCCGGCCTTCTCGTCCCCTCCAGGTCCCCGCGGAAGCGGCGGTGGCGGCGTCATGGCGGAGCTGACGGCTCTGGAGAGTCTCATCGAGATGGGCTTCCCCAGGGGACGCGCGTAAGGGAGCCCCCTAACACCCGTCCGCAGGGGTCGCCGACCTGTCCAGGCCTTTATCCCAGCCTGGCCTCAGGCTCTACGCCCCAGCCTGACCATCGCCATGGTTCGTGGGCGCTATTCACGGTGTTTCTGCCCCCAGGGAGAAGGCTCTGGCCCTCACAGGGAACCAGGGCATCGAGGCTGCGATGGACTGGTGAGCGCTCAGACCGGGTAGCAGGTGACTGGGGACTCCTACGAGGGGAAGCCTGAACATTAACCTCCCTCCCGACTTTCCCTGCCAGGTTGATGGAGCATGAAGACGACCCAGACGTGGACGAGCCACTAGCGACCCCCCTTGGACATATCCTGGGACGGGAACCCACACCCACTGAGCAAGGTGGCCCTGAAAGTCCTGACGGAGGGACCCAGTGTGATTATTCAGGAGGGCCTGAGGAGGAGGATGAACGGGTAACAATACTGATTGCTTGTTTGTAGGACCTGGGTCTGTTGTGGGAGAAAGCAAACCCATTTTGACTGAAGAGGAAAGACAAGAACAGACTAAGAGGTTTGAAAAACAAGCTCACATTTCTGAGGCTCATCCTCCACCTCTCCCCAGAGGTGTTTGGGACTGTGTTCCTGGATTCTGTTTTCTGAATCCCTTGTTAATAAACACAGCTTCCCAAATTATGTCTATTTCTCTTGAACTCTTTCCTCTCTGCAATACAGGATGTTGGAGCTGGTGGCCCAAAAGCAACGGGAACGTGAAGAAAGAGAGGAGCGGGAGGCACTGGAGCGGGAACGGCAGCGCAGGAGACAAGGGCAAGAGTTGTCAGCTGCCCGACAGCGGCTACAGGAAGATGAGATGCGCCGGGCTGCTGAGGAGCGGAGGAGGGAAAAGGCTGAAGAGTTAGCAGCCAGGTCTGGGTGCTGGGGGTGTTGGCTAAGAGATGAGAAAGGAATCAAGATTTGCTTTGTCAGTGTCTGACCTACTTTCGTTCTGTCTGCATTCCAGACAAAGAGTCCGAGAAAAGATCGAAAGGGACAAAGCAGAGAGAGCCAAGAAGGTAGGTGATTGGGTACATACTGAGGGTAATGAAATAGGGGGACCAGAAAATCCCCTTTTCTAGCTTCAGAGGGAAGGGTTGGGCTTCGTGCCTGATTGTTTAACTTTGTCCTCCAGTATGGTGGTCATGGAGGTTCTCAGCCATGCCCACCAACAACAGAGCCAGGCCCCGTTCCCTCCTCTCCCAGCAAGGAGCCTCCCACGAAGCGAGAGTATGACCAGTGTCGCATACAGGTACTGATTCTGATTCCTGTCTTGCTCCTGGGACCCTTTGTTGCCTTGTAAGGCACCCAGCCCAGCCCAGAGCTTTTTTCAGTTATGTTCCCTTTGCCAAACCTCTCCCATCTTTGTAAATGACTTTTGAAATCCTGCCTCCTCTGCTCTTAGGAAGATATCAAATTTTACTTGCCCCAGTCTCATATAAATCTATCTCTCTTTCTTATTCAGCAGTTAACTTCTCACTTGTTCATCGTGTTTTCTTTTGGCTTATTATACAGTTATTTGCACGATGTGGTACCTATCCAGATATTTTGTGTAATCTTGTCTTTGTTTTCCTTAAATTGTGAGGGAGCTAGGAGTCTCTCCTTTCAGTGTTCAGTAAAGCCAAGCCTAAGTGGTTGTTCATTAGCTGCTTTAAATAGTAATTATGCTGGTTCAGTCTCTCTGAGAGGAAGGAGAAGCCAGCTTTGCTCTTTTCCTTTTCCTTACCTGGGCACTTCACTCAGTCTTCACACTCACAATTCTGTACTTCTGTCTTGCTTCCCAGGTCAGGCTGCCAGATGGGAGCTCACTGACCCAGACATTCCGGGCACGAGAACAGCTGGCAGCTGTGAGGCTCTATGTGGAACTCCACCGTGGGGAGGAGCTGGGAGGGGGCCAGGACCCTGTGCAGTTGCTTAGTGGCTTCCCCCGGCGGGCCTTCTCAGAGGCTGACATGGAGCGGCCTCTGCAGGAGCTGGGTATGACACGTGGGACCTGAAACCAGGAGGGGGATAGGGGACATGCCTGAGAAAGGAAGGGATGCAAAGAAGGGACTTTGTGGAGATAGTGTGAAGCCAGGAATTGGGGGGTGCGGGGAGGGTGGGCAAAAAGCAGATCTTTTGGTTCAAACCTGTTTCGTTCCATCTTCAGGACTTGTGCCTTCTGCTGTCCTCATTGTGGCCAAGAAATGTCCCGGCTGAGAGGCCTTTATCCCACCATCCTTCTCTGACCTCTCTTCATCTTTGATAAAGCACTGACATTACCTTCCTAATAAATAGACCCTCTGAGTTCTGTATGCGACTGACTCCTTCCTGAATGGCCGGGAGGGACAAAAGGAAGGCTTTTAGAACAGACCCTATGCTTCCTCTTAAATTTCCACAGGAGACTTGTTTCTGATCTCTGGGTCTGATAAGTTGCTTGGGAGGTTGAAGGGGAGAGGTGCTGGAGTGTGGGGTGTACCTTGGATAGCATCTTTTGCTCCTATGGGTAAGGCAGTACCTAAGCCTGAAATCCTTAGCTATGTGCCTTGACTTCTTTAATTAAGCCTAGTTTCTTCTTTAGTAAAACAGGGATAATAGTGCCTGTTAATTGGGGTTGTGGGGGCTTCCGTAATGCTGATGTAAGGTGCTTTGGCACCGTGCCTGGCACCTGGTAAGTCCCCTATTAAGTATTAGCTACTAGAAGGGTAGTTTTTAAAATGTGGCCATTCGGGCTTCCCTGGTGGCACAGTGGTTGAGAGTCCGCCTGCCGATGCTGGGGACACGGGGTCGTGGCCCGGTCCAGGAAGATCCCACATGCCGCGGAGCGGCTGGGCCCATGAGCCATGGCCGCTGAGCCTGCGCGTCCGGAGCCTGTGCTCCGCAACGGGAGAGGCCACAACAGTGAGAGGCCCACGTACCGCAAAAAAAAAAAAATGTGGCCATTCACAGTGAGAGGAGCCATAGTGTGACCTTCACAGCTACATCTCTTCTGCACTAAAAAGTATTGAGTACTTAATATATACCACACAGTTTTAAGTGCTTTGTATGTATTAACTGAGATATGAAGGCAGTATTATCTAGCTGTAGGTACAATGATCCCATTTTAGAGATTGGGACACCAAAGCACGTGACTTGTCCAAACTGACACAGCTAGCAAGTAGCAGAACCTGGACACATCTCTGGGGAGCGTGACTCTAGGACTCAGGCTCTGAACTGCCGAGCTCTGCTTGTGCTGCTGCTGCTGCTCACCTCATCCTCGTGCTCCCTCAGACAGCTGCTGACCTCCCTCCTCTCATACCCCGACTAGGAAAGAGACCACAAGTAAACTGTAAAGGTTGCACATGACAAATGTGCTTAGCTTATGACTTCACCATCTAGTAGCTGAAAACTGCACCAATGCTCATATCTGGGTTTACACCTCAGTGTTACCAAGCTTTATTTAGTGTGTTCCAGCTTTATTTAATACAAGCAGCTCCCCCCACCCCTCCTCCCATCCCCCATCAATTGCAATCTTGTTTGGAACCACAGGACATAAAATAGACAAAAGGGGAGTGAAATGATTGACTTCGCTGTAGGGCGGCCACCCCACTGATAGCTTTATCTCATTCCCATCAGTGGCATCGCCAATGGATCCTGTGACGGATTCCGAAATTGAAAGCCACTACAGTGAAAACCTTGTGGGAGGAAAACCCCAGTGCATTTAGTGAGAGGCTGCCCTGTGCCTGGCACTGCACTTCACATTCCTAAGCTCACCTTTTTACAACTCTCAAGACAATTGTCACCATTTATTTATTTATTTATCTGCACCAGGTCTTAGTTGCAACACTCTGGATCTTCGTTGCAGCATGTGGGATCTCTTAGTTGCGGCATGCGAACTCTTGTTGCAGTACCTGGGATCTAGTTCCCTGACCAGGGATCGAACCAGGGCCCCCTGCATTGGGAGCACGCAGTCTTAGCCACTGGACCACCAGGAAAGTCCCCATTATCACCTTTTATGGAACAGGACTAAGGCTCAGAGGTTAAAAGCATGGAGGAGTTGAAGCAAGATCTGACTCAAAGCACACTCCTTTTACCGCTCCTACCACGGTGGCCTCCAAAAGTTAAATTAAGGTCACAGAAGGCATTATGGCACATGTTAATTGCTAGAAGCCCCTCTCCAACCTCATTCGAAGGACAGGTACCCAGAGTGTCCTCTATGGGTATTTACTGCACAAGAGTTTCCAGGATAATGATTTCAAGAACATCACTTGGTTATCCCCGAAAGTACACTCACGCAAACCACGTGACCTGACGTGTGTTTTGAAAACGTGGTCGCTCTGCCTATAGGGCTTCCACGTCACATGAAGGGCGGGGCAGGCGGGAGCTGCACTCAAGCCCGCCCGCAGCACTGACCCCCATAACACTCTAGGCTTTTATGGGCGTCCAGCCGCAGCGCTCACTCTCTGGATGGAGGAACATGATTTATTGGTTCCTTCAGTTAGCCACATCCGATGCCCTGGCCCAAGACGTGGACGTTAAAACACAGTCAGTGCAGGGTTTGGGGGAGAACGTGCTCACCCGGCGGCAGCTCCCCAGGTCCCGAAGAGGTCTGCGCGTGTCTGGACTCCCCGCCGGCCCACAGAGGAGTAAGGCCGGCTCGGGCTCCTGCGCTGCAGCGGAGGTCCCGGCGCGCACGGGGGCAGGTCTGGCCTCAGGCTGACTTCCCGCCGCCACCACTCATCCAGTTCTTTCTCCAGGCGACGTTCTCTTGCGTGGCCGCGGCCTCCTGCAGAGTGGCCAGAAGTAGCTCTTTGGTCCCGGCCACCTCGTCCCTGCGCTGCGGGTCCTGCTCCGGCATCTCCTGCGGGCAGAAAGCGAGGTTCGTAGTCCGGGCTACCAGCCTGCGGTTCTCCGCCCGCTCGCCCTACCTCGGCCTCCTAACTGCTCGCACCTTTAGCATCGCCTGCTTCTGCTGTTCTCCCGGGGTCACGAGGACAAAGAGCGCGGTGCCCACGCCAGCCCCCACGGCCAGCACTGCGCCCGCGATCAGCGCTTTGCGCAGGGCCTCCATGGCCGACCGCGCGACCAGCGAGACGCCCTCCGGAGCCTCCGGTAGCCTAGCAAGGCTGCCGCGACGTCTCAATCTGCGCAGGCTAGAACGCCTCACACAGGAAACCATAGAGACGGGGCCGGGCTAGAGAGGGCCTGGCCAGCGAAACGTTTCGAAGCTAGAGCGCCTGGGTGTTAAGACTAGGTTTAGCGGAGGAGGCTGACCACGTCGAGGTGCTGGCACCCAGGGCCGAGCGTGGGTTCCCTTGTCATGAAATCCTGAGGAGGACTGCTAAGGGGAGAGTAAGTGTCTTCATTGTTGCTGTGAGTTTTACAATTGCCCAGCTCCGGAATGTCCTGATCAATAGAGGGTCAGGGCTGTGCTCTGTAGTTTCCTACAATTACTTGTGCTTTTCCAATACAGTACATAAGGACATTCAGATACTTATAAACAATCTTACAATCTATTGACTGCCTTCAATCCCTTCAACTCCTGAACAAAAACTCAAAGCCAAGTGTACCGGGTGGGGAGAAGGGTATATTTATGTTTTCTTTTTATTTTACTTGTTGAAAGTAAACGTTACCTTTCTCTTCATGGTATATAACCTTGGTTTGTTTTTTTTTAAACCATGGATTTTGTGTAACATACCGAATTCTAGTTTGGAGAAGAAAACACCTCCTAGTTGTGTGACCCCGGGCAAATCGTTTAAGTTCTTTGTTTCTCGGTTTCTGCATCGGAAAATGAGGCTAATAACAGTATTTATCTCATAGTTTTAGGATAATTAAATAAGTTTATATGAAAAGCATTTAAAACAGTTCCTGGCAAATAGCATACACCATAAAAATATTCATTAAATAAGATACAAAGAAACATGTCAATGTGGGAGACCCAGTAAGAACCAGGAAATTCCAAGTTTGTTATCAAAGCTCTTCACTCACAGGGCTTTAATCCAGATGCCCTTGTTAACTCCTACTTCTGCCTTTCCCAGTGTCACCAGGGAGTGAGTAGAAATAAAGCTCCTATCCCACCTCTTGGGATTGTCCCCTCCCCTGGAAGGCCCATAATCTCCTTGCATGTCAGCCTCTTCTCAGAAGTGATTAAGGGGCCAGGCTCCAAAGCAGATTAAAGGAACAGTCTGTGGGGTGCTCTGGGCAGGGATACTCTACTGAGTTCAACCACCCTGCACTCCAAGAATCAGCACCCATGGCCCTTGTGCCAGGGAGCAGCAAGGATGTGCCTTGGCCTAGAGATAGCCCAGGCTCCTCCCAGCAACCAGAAAGTCCTAGACTGACCAACCCTCTCTGGGAGGACAGAAGAGAAATTGGCCAGGTTGAAGGTCACCAGGATGTTCAGGTTAGTATTTCCCCACCTTGTGTCTTGCTGTTGGCTCATTCTAATTTGGCCCAAGCCCCCTGCTGTGCCCATCCAGGTTGTCTGTCAAAAGACCGGCCTCCCCTCCATCGTGGTGGAAGCCTCTGAGGCTGAAGCGAGTGAAGAGAGTGGGGAGCTCCGGTGGCCACACGAGGAGCTGCAGCTGCTCACTGATGATGAGGAAGAGGAGGTTGAGATCTTCCAGGACCAAAGTGAAGAACCAGGTGAGGGAGGTGGCTGGTTCAAATGAGGCTGCTGTGAAGGGGATGGTCTAAGCAGGACAACTTAGTTGTGTCTCTTGCATTAAGCAGCACACAGTAGGTGCTCAGTAAACACAGTGAAGAAAAATGTAGAGGTGGGAGATAAAAGTCAAGGTGGGGCTTCCCTGGTGGCGCAGTGTTTGAGGGTCCGCCTGCCGATGCAGGGGACACAGGTTCGTGCCCCGGACCGGGAAGATCCCGCATGCCACAGAGCGGCTGGGCCCGTGAGCCATGGCCGCTGAGCCTGCGCGTCCGGAGCCTGTGCTCCGCAACGGGAGAGGCCACAACAGTGAGAGGCCCGCGTACCGCAAAAAAAAAAAAAAAAAAAAAAAGTCAAGGTGGTTGGCAAAGTTGATGAACTTTAAAAGGCAGTTGTGATGTCAGATAGGTGACACCCTTTAATATGTATTTTTAATACTTTAAGATATTTTTGTCATGGGGGAAAGAATAAAATCACCGCAAATCCGACTACCCAAAGATTAACATTTTGGATGCCTTCTCCTCCAGATTTTTCTTCATGTCTATATACTGTTACAGAAGCTACTTTTACTATGTGCCAGGCACTGTGCTGAACACTTTTACGTTTATTTTTCAGGACCCAGTGAGGAAGGATACTTTCTCCCTCATGAGGAAACCGAAGCTGTTAAGTTAGGCTCTTCATTATAATTGCTGTATTATTTTTATAAGAAAAAGAATTTGTTTTATCTTAAAAAAAAAAAATCCAGGGGGCTTCCCTGGTGGCGCTAGTGGTTTGAGAGTCCGCCTGCCGATGCAGGGGACACGGGTTCGTGCCCCGGTCCGGGAGGATCCCACGTGCCGCGGAGCAGCTGGACCCGTGAGCCAAGGCCGCTGAGCCTGCGCGTCCAGAGCCTGTGCTCCACAACGGGACAGGCCACAACAGTGAGAGGCCCGCGTACTGCAAAAAAAAAAAAAAAAAAATCCAGTAATATATGAGGTATATTTTTCACTGTTAATGGGCTCTTTAACTCCCTCCCTCCCACCCCCCAGGCTGGACTTGGAGCTCACTGGACCCCAAATCTCCCTTAAGAACCTTTAGCCCAGAACTCAGCTGGGGGCAGGAACAGGTAGATCAAGATGCCTACTGGATTCCAGAGACAGATTGTCAGGAAGCCCCCAATCCCTGTCCTCTCTGGGACTCGGCATCAGGTTCCCGTGTGTGCAGAAGCTGCTTTGTGGAATATTCCCATTTCCTGCCTCCCAGGAGCTTTGAGGGTAAGTATCACTCTCCCTCAAACATTTTACCTAGGTTTATGAAGCCCTTCTACCTCTCCTTTCACAATCTTCCCCTTTTACAAGCTGAGAAAAATGAAGGCTTACAGGTTAGGCCCCTGGGTCACACAAGTCATATTCAAGGAATTTGGGTTAAGAATTCCTATCTGTGCTTTTAGGAGTTCGGTTAACTGGGATGGGGAATGACCCACCTGTACCTTCTTTATTCAGCACTCATCTTGTGCCTGGCACTGGTAAGTGTTTCACCTGTTGTTGTATGGAATCCACATAACCCCAGGTTATTATTCCAACCTTGCAGATGAGTAAACTGGGGCACAGAAATATTCAATACTGTGTGCACACAGCTAATAAATATGAAAGCCCGGATCCAAATCCTCATTTTCCAGTCATCTTGCCAAGACAAAAGCTTTCTCCAGCTCCTCACCCAACAGAAACACTAGGGTCAGGTTTTAAAAGTCTTTAATTGGAGTCTTGAACCAAGTAAGCAAAGTAGGTGATGCCCCCGAAAGGGCCCAGCTCCTGCACAGACACAGTCCAGCCTTGGGACCCTTGCTCCAGGCAGGGCAGCCGCACATCAGGGTCCTCATCTGAGAACTGAATCAGGGTCCCCCCAGGGCTTAGGACCCTCAGGCACTCTGACAGCAGCTGGTAAGCCCCAGGCAGACCAGCCTGGGCAAGAGCATCCCAGGTGCCCTTGTCTAGCACTAGATGGAAAGAGCCTGAGGAAGCCACTGGCTGCAGGTTGAGGGCATTAGCTTGCATGAAGTGGAGGCGTGAGGCAGGGTGCCCTGGGCACAGGGGTGTTTGGCCTTGGCCACCTTCCAGGAGGCTGTTCATGTGGGCCACAGCCACAGGAGAGAAGTCCACCCCCAACACGCCCACTGGGTGCGGGCATTTGGTGTAGAGGCCTGTACACAAGCTGGAGGTCCCACAGCCCACGTCCAACACCCGCAGTGGACAGGCAGCTGGTGCCTCCTGCAGCAGCGGCAGTAGGAGCTCCTGGGCTTCCTCGTATCCAAAGAACCAGTCGAAGGTGCCCGCGCTGCCCTGACGGGTCTGGGCAGGGAGCTTATCCCAGAGGCGGCGGTCCGCCAGGCAGCTACCAGCCAGGGAGCCTGTGGACGAGTGGAGGACTTGCGTCACCCAGCGCCCAGTTCTAGCAAAACGCGACAAAACCCGCACCAATGTGGCCTGGGGCTTTAAGCAGCACAATTTCAGGGACTAGACTCCTGTGTAACGAAGAACCCAACTTGCCCTCCCTCTGTCCACCTTCCCTACCCGCCACGGCGCGACGCGCCCCCGCCGCCAGGCTCGCCAGGTGGAGGGTTCGGCGCAGAGCTGCCATCCGGAGGTGATGGCAAGGTCGGCCAGAGGAACTTCTGCGAAAATGTCGCCCGTACTCCGGCAGGGGCCTGAGGTCCAAGGGAAGATTTGCAAAATACGCTGTGCGGAATCACGCGTACAGCCTCCCTAACTCTGCAGCCTCGGAGAAAAGGAACGCGGACACAAACTTACTACGGTACGAACGACCTTTATTGTTTGCAACGGGAAGTGGAAGAGGAGGGGATGCGACAGCTCCGGCTCCTGGGGCGGCTCCACAGATTCGGTCGCTGTCCTCGGAAAGCTGGGGTTTTTTTTTGAGTCAAGTTAAAATTACTTCCTGGAGGTGAACTAATTTTCTCTTCTACATTTTTGGAATTTCCCATTGGGTGAAACATGTAGTGATCTAATTCTCTGCAACCGCCGGTACCGAAGACATGACGCCGAGGGGGCCGGAGCCCTTTCCCTCTACCTCCGTACATTACGCGGACCGGGACCGCACGCCCGGTCCCCGCCAAGAAAAGGAGGGTCAACAGGCCCCACCCAGACCCCCCGCACGGCCAGCCGGTGAAAACACTAGAGCCGACACTCACTCGGTCGCTGTCCTCGGAAAGGTCAAGGAGCCGACCGGGCTCCTTTATATAGCTCCAGGACCCGCCCCGCCCCCCAGCTGCGATTGGCTAACGGAGGGCTGAGGGGTGGGGCGCGCACGGACCCTGCGCAAAGCTGAAACGCTGGACCCTGAGCTGGTTTCGCAACGCAGCAATGGGTGCTCCGGGGGGAAAGATCAACCGGCCGCGAACGGTGACTGTGTGGGAGCCCGACCCTGTTTCCCAAGCGTCCCGGAGCTCTTTACCCTCGCCCGAGATGGGCTCGATGGGCCAGTGTCGCCGGGTGCGGGGTCCCGGGTCGCGGTGCACGGCATCCCTCTGATTAAGCATCTTCCTCCCCCTTAGGAGCTGAAAAAGAAGCTGTTCAAGCGACGGCGGGTGTTGAACCGGGAGCGGCGACTGAAGCACCAGGTGGTCGGGGCTGTGATAGACGAAGGGCTGATCACGAGGCACCACCTCAAGAAGCGGGCGTGAGTGCCAGACCCTCTCCCTCTTGATCCTCCCCACCATGCCTCCTTCCCTCCTCCTTGTCGAGCTCCGGAGCAGCTAACTCCGTTTTGCTTTCCTTGTGTACTCACGTTTATGCAAGGAATGTTTGTGCCTAAACTCTGCGAGCCTCTCACTGTACCTGTAGCTCACAACCTTTCTTTGGTTCTTGGACTCTGATGGGAATCGAAGGAGAGCTGTGGACTCCCCCACCTATCCAAGTAACATTATACATTCACACAGATTTTTTTTTTTTTTTTGCGGTACGCGGGCCTCTCACCGTTGTGGCCTCTCCCGTTGCGGAGCACAGGCTCCGGACGCGCAGGCTCAGCGGCCATGGCTCACGGGCCCAGCCGCTCCGCGGCCTGTGGGATCTTCTTGGACCGGGGCACGAACCCGTGTCCCCTGCATCGGCAGGCGGACTCTCAACCGCTGCGCCACCAGAGAAGCCCCACACAGATTTTTTTATAAGTATATTTAAAAGCACACACATAAGTGTGCGGTGAATCATTCGATGAATTTTCACAAGGGCACATGTGAGATTTTGCATATAATCTGAGTCTTGGGGCAGAGTTCCCACCCCATTCTTTCATTGACTTGTTTATTATAAATATTTAGTTTATAAAGCGGCATAATAAATATATTTGGTCCTTGTCTCTGCTTTCTGGCAGAGCTAAATTTCCTGAGTGATAAGAGTGACTTTTTTTCATAAGGATCCCCTTTTGAGCACACCTAAATTTATGCAAATGGTGACTTAGCGTGGGGCTGGTCATCAGAAAGATGAAGTGATTAGAGGATTGGAAATTTAATTCCCTCTCACTGCCTGTAGGAAGGGGGTGGGTGGGTGCTGTAGATTAAGCTCTACACAACCTCTTGAACCAGCTCCTGATTGGTCAACTGGTGGAGGTACTGGGAGGCTGACTCACCTGGAGAGAGCATGGAACCTCTGGCCCCTTCCATACCTTACCCTATGCTTCTCTTCCATCTGACTGTTCTGAGTTGTATCGTTTTATAATAAATCAGTAAATGCAAATACATGTTCCCCTGAGTTCTGTGAGCTGTTCTAGCAAATTATCGAGTCTGAGAAGGGGGTCATGAGAACCCCAATTTATGGCTGGTCAATCAGAAGTACAGGTAACAACCTGGATTTGTGAATGGCATTTGAAGTGGGGAAAGCCTTAACCTGTGGTATCTGTTGCTATGTCCTGGTAGATAGTGTACAAATGGAGTTAAATTTGTAGGACACCCAGTCAATGTCCATTGAGAATTTGGAGAATTACTTGATGTGGGAAACCTCCCTCACCCACCACATCTGCTGTTAGAAGTATCAAGAATAAGGGACTTCCCTGGCGGTCCAGTGCTTAAGACCAATTGCGCTTCCAATACAGGGGGCATGGGTTCGATCCCTGGTCAAGGGAACTAAGATCCTGCATGTCGAATGGCCAAAATATATATTATATGTATATACATATATATATATACATATACATATATATACATATATATAATTTATTTATTTATATTTATAAAATAATAGGAGGAAACGTTTCTATTATGTACTAAATTTTAGCAATTAATGTTACTTTATGTATGTGTTAAGACTAGTTTTAGGTAAAGTAACAGTTCTTTGACTTGGATCCAAAGAACTTTTCGGTAACCAGGACCACTGTGTGGTCTGTATTGGTTCAGGTTAACCTGGATATTTTTGCTCTTACCAATCCTTCAGGTCCAGTGCACGTGCCAACATTACTCTGTCTGGGAAGAAGCGCAGAAAACTCCTCCAGCAGATCCGGCTCGTCCAGAAAGAGAAAGCAGCCATGGAAGTGGAAGCCCCCCTCAAGTCAGCCAGGACTAGTGAACCACAGCCCAAATCAAAAAAGAAGACAAAAGCCCCCCAGGATGTAGACATGGAGGACCTTGAAGATAAGAGCTAAATCTCACAGCCCTTCCACCAGAAGATTCTCAGCTGGAGCCAGGAGGACTCGATGGTTATTTCAGAGGACTTTGGAGAAAGCGTTGCTCCTTTTCACTCTCCCCGATTCCTCTTCCCTAATGGCCTAGTGACCTGCCCTGGAGGGATGTATTGAGAGGTAGAGGGCAGCGAGGGGGTCCTAAACAGTCAACTCCATTTGTAATAAAGCCCTAGCATTCTCACTGAGATGTGTGTGATTAAATGTAGGGATGGGGATAGGCCATGAAAAGGGGCTGTGAGTGTGGAAACAAGACAATTGGGAAACAGGACCCACAGTTCTTACTTGACCAAAGGCAACGAGAAGCCACCCTCCATGATGGCCCTGTCTCCCCGATGAGTGACACTCCATCTTTCCATTTCTGACAAAAATAAGGTGTTCTGTAGAGATGGCAGAGGAGGTAAGGGGCTTTTTTTTTTTTTTTTTTTTTTTTTTGCTGTATGCGGGCCTCTCACTGCTGTGGCCTCTCCCGTTGCGGAGCACAGACTCCGGACGCGCAGGCTCAGCGGCCATGGCTCATGGGCCCAGCCGCTCCGCGGCATGTGGGATCTTCCCAGACCGGGGCACGAACCCGCGTCCCCTGCATCGGCAGGCGGACTCTCAACCACTGCGCCACCAGGGAAGCCCGGAGGTAAGGGTCTTGATACTGGCCCTGCCACCTCCCCTGTGTGACCAGGGTGGACAAGTGACCGTGGTTGTCTCTGCTTCCTTTGCTGGATTATATTTTTAATAAAGTGAACATTATTTTTCCCTTTTAACGTTCAGAAATTCTGTTTGTTGGAAGCCAGTGCTGGGGTGGTTAATTGAAGTGAGAAGCTGTGTGTGCAGAGATGTGGTGAACTGGGGAAAAGCATATTCTCTCCTTGCTCTGTTAATCAGTGCAGGCTTCCTGGAAGAGGGAGGGTTTGGGTACAGTGTTGTGCTCCCCCCTCCTCAAGTTTATATTTTGAACATTTTCAAACCTTCGGTAAAGTTAAGAGATTAGCACACTGAGCCCTTAAATATTCACTCTACTTGGATTTACCAGTTTTTAACATTCGGCTATACTTGATCTCCGTACCCGCTTGCATATATGTGTGTGTGTTCAAGTATGTATAATTGTTGTCTTTGCTGACTCATTTGAAAGTCAATTGCAGATGAGATTTTACCCCTTAGGACATGCTTCTATATAGCCAAAACACCTAAGACATTTAACATTGGTGGAATAGCTAAAATTCAGGTTTTCATATTCACATTTCCTGAGCTGTGGATACTTTTTTATAGCTGTTTATTGTTTCCTCAATCCAGACACCGTTAAGGATCACGCATAGCGTTTAATTGTCATGTCCCTTTAGTCTCCTTCAATCCAGAACAGTACCCCTACCTTGTCTTAGGTGACTTGGTGTCTTTGAAGAGTCCAGCCTAAATTAATTTAATTAATTAAGAATATCTCACAGCCTGGGTTTGTCTGAGTGTTTCCGTATGTTTCCTCATCAATAGATGTAGGTTAAGCATTTCTGGGAAAAATTCTACATAGAGGATATTGTGTACTTCCCATTGCATTTCACCAGGAAGTAAGTGTTGACTGAAAAAAAAAAAAACACAACCTAAAGGTTGAGAATTATGTTTGATTCAGCAGACTTGCTGAAAACTTAAAGTTGGAAGACAGCCTCTCAGATAGCTCTGAGGTAAGGGAGGAGCCAGGATATAGAGTTTTTGCAACAAAAACCAGGTAGTTGGAACATCAAAGATTGTTGTTAAAGAAAATCAGACTTCTCAAGTTAATTAATTTAGTGCTTTTCTATGTATGGGAAGACGAAAGAGTCTCGGCTCTTTGAAATCATTCCTTTGATATGCTCCTTAACTACCTATGGCCAGTATCCTGTTCTTTTTCCTCCTGAATCTCCTCAGGGTGCACCATTGGGGATGGCTGCAGTGGTTGATGGTTTGATGGAGGGCAGCCTGTTTGGAGACCATAGGAGACAGCCATAGTGGCTGATTGCTTGATGGCCGCAACATTGTTTGTTTTCTGATATAGCAGGCAGGTGAATTTTTCGTCCACACATACAATATCAGTTTGTCTCATTATTGGTGATTCCTAGTGTTAAGTGGGTGTCTGTCAGATTTCTCCATGGTTAAGGTATTCTTTCCCTTTGTAATTAATAAGCAATCTATGGAGTGATATTTTGAGATTGTATGAATACCCTGTTCCCCAATGACCTCTCAACAATGGTTTTAGCATCCATGATGATCCATATCTGAATTAGTTACTGCTGCAAAATGGTGATTTTTCTAATTGTATCATTCATTCATCCATGTTACTCATTTTACATATTCTGTAAAGGAAACCCCTACTTCCTTTTAAAAATCTCATTTAGGTTGTTAAACATCTGTTACTATCACTTTTTCATGCTCCAAATCATACCAAACTGGCCAGCCAAAGCCTGTGTCTTTTTTTTTGGGGGGGGGGGCACACAGGATACAGCATCTTGGTTCCCCAACCAGGGATTGAACCTGTGCCCCCTGCAATGGAGGCACAGAGTCTTAACCACTGGACCACCAAGAAAGTCCTGGTCCTGTGTCCTTTTGACACAGCACCACCAGTATCTGAGCAATTCCTTGCTGTCTGGCACAATATGTTCCAGGCTCACCTGCTGCTTCCCCTGGGCTAAAACTTGGTATCAGCTAGTTTTCTATGGAGACAGTATTATGTCCAGTTTTGAACACAGAAAGGAAAAAGTACTTGTGTGAAACTGAAATATATTCAGATGTGGTAAGGAGAGGAGGGGAGAAGCTGCAGGGAGAAGGAATTTCAACATCTTGGGATCCCCATCACCTTTCATAATTTCGTTCTACCCCCTGTGCCTAAGGCAGAAAGGAGCTTGCTGTGTTCAAAGAAGAGTTTCTGTACCTGGTATTGTGCTAAATTCTTTACACAAATAATCTGAAGTAGGAATTTCCTGGCAGTCCAGTGGTTAGGACTCCATGCTTCCACTGCGGGGGCACGGGTTTGATCCCTGGTCGGAGAACTAAGATCCTGCGTGCTGCATGGCATGGCCAAAAAAAGAAAAAGAAAAAAAAAAGAGAGAAAGAAATAGGTGAATAATCTGAAGTGATCTTTGCAAAAAGTTTGTGAGATACGATACAGCATGCGCCATGTTACAGTTAAGGAAAGGGGCTCCGAGCAGCTGAGTCACTTGCTCAGGGTTACATTGCTAATTAATAGCAGACATGAATTCAGATCTGTCTAACTCCGAAACAAGCACCCTTAGATTGTGAAATCTTTAAGGGCAAGGACCACATAATAGTCTCATAGCTGGAAGAATTTATCGGGTTCAAAAGGCACTTTTGTTTTTTGGCCATGTCGTGAGGCATGCGGATCTTAGTTCCCCCACCAGGGATCTAACACATGCTCGCTGCAGTGGAAATGCAGAGTCTTAACCACTGGACTACCAGGGAAGTCCCCAAAAGCCACTTTTCATAGATCAAAAGTCAAGGCCCAGAGAAGGGAAGTGTTGGGTCCAAGTTTGAAGCAGAGCTAGGAGCAGAAATTGTCTCGTATTTACTGTCCTAGAGCATATACGCTTCATGAGTGATCGAACTTCTAAAATTTAAGAATAAATATAGAACCACCATAATTAATCATTTACGTTTTAAAACATGGTCACTTCAAAGATATCTTTAGAACCTACCATCTGGTGTTATTCTAACTCACATTTCCACTGAGAACAGTAAGCCCTCTGGTTAATACAGGCCTCAGAACCTACTTTCCTTTTCATTCATCCAACCAACTATTAAGAACCTGCTACATGCCAGGAAGACACTGTTGTATGTGATGATGATAAAGCCTTTAACAAAACTGGCAACATCCCTGTTGTCAAAGAGCTGGAGTTCATTCAACAAATATAATAAAAACAGCTATTGCTTATATAGTGCTTACCTACCATTGCAGGCACCAAGCGCTATACAGTAAACATATTACCTGGCTTAAATTTTCACAAGCCCGTGAGGTAATTGTACTATTAACATCCCGATTTCCGGAAAAGCAAACAGGCAGAGAGGAGTTAAATGTAGTACACAGTCGGTTAGTGGAATAGCTGGAACGTGATCTAGATAGACTGGTTGGAGCGGGGGCTCTTGATGAGGTGTATTATGTCTTCATAAGGTTACCAAGCTCTCTGCAGCTATGGGGATGTGAGGTTGGGGAAGGCCCCCCTGCACTGGGAGACTGGGGAACCTGACAAAGATCGTAGTGCCAACCTAGAACTGGGAGAACACCTTCAGCGTAGCCAGCCCAATTTTTTCAGGCTTCCTCCTCTCCCTCTCTTTCCTTGTCTTCATCTTCTCTTACGGACTTTCACTCCTTTCTTTCCGTCTCTCTTCCGCTTTCCCTCTTCCCTTCTCTCCTTTAACTGCTTTTTACATTGTCACTGGTTATTGACTAAAATGTTTCTTAAGGTGCTTCCTTTTTTAAAACCTCGAGAGTTGAAAATTTTGCTTCGGCTTTAGGAAAATTAATTAAGTCCAATTAAGTGGTCGCAGCTAGCCTTAGTGTGTGTAAATAGCCCTCTCGGGGGCGGGGGGGAATGGTTGCGTTGAGGATGGGTCGGCTTCCCGCTGTCATGGGTGCAGCCCCGTTCTGGGACGCCGACTCATCTCGGAACCAATATGTGAGGGTCACGGACGTCGCCGGATTGGTTTTCCTGAGAGGCTTTGTCGCTGGTTCCTTTCGGGTTTCCCGGCAGCGCGCATGCGCTTCCTGCACTCCGCCGCTCCCGCTTCGGGCTCGGGCTAGGGCTCCGGGATGTCCGCGTTGTGCGACCCTCCCGGGGCCCCAGGGCCTCCCGGGCCTGCCCCGGTCTCCCACGGTCCCGCGCCGCTCAGGTAGTCAGAGCCCCTGGCATCT